AACTTTTGCTAGAGCCGAAACCATTTACTCCCATCAGTGGCATGGACCACACCGGTAAGTACCTCCACCACCCACCACCTACCATCTCCATTCCGTTTCCTTTGCAGCCGTACACTTCGATTCCATATCCTCTGTACGTGCCTTGTTAAGCTCACTTAGACCTCCGCGGTGACGTTGGACTTCAAACAGACAGCAGAGACTTCTTCAGTGGTTAGTTGACAGCGATGTTGTTGGCGGCAGCGGTGGAGGGGATGACAATGGGAAGGGTAAGAAGGTGGATGGTGCTGAATTGGAGTGTTGCCTGCTCGACGACCTTTCCTCCAATATGAGTCAATGGTCGTGAGGACGTAGAGGAGGTGGAGTGGAAGCACCTGCCACCCTCCAGGTTTGGATTCACTTCCACTCCATTGTCATCGCTCTCATCGTCATCACGGTCGTCGTTATCCTCATCATTTTTGCTAACCACAGTGACAGCATTGTCGGAGGGCGAACTGGAGACGACGCGATGGACGCTGGCGACGGAATTTGTGGATTGTGGAGTGTGCAGTAGTTACGGTGAAGGAGGAGGAGAAAGGAGAGGTGATAGAGGAGGAGTTGATGTGGTTAAAAGGGGGTGACAGGAGAGGATGTACAAGTCAAGCTCCACCTCGAAATCCTGTGGTAGGTGGCAAAAGGGATTTGGATTGTACCTGTGAAGTGGAGTCAATTAGGCAACCATATAGCCCATTAGTTAGTGAGCTGGTGGAGTTGTTAGGATGGTGGAGAGTGAAGACGAGAAAGCGCAGAAGAATGTTTGAAGAGATGGAGGCTTACTTGATTATGCCTATAGATATGTGGAGAGGCAGGCATGGCAGTGAGAGTGTGTGGGTAAACCAGCGTTTATTTTCATACTATCTGTGATCGCTCATTCGCGGACCATCTCTCCTCTTCCATCATAATTGGCTTCCCCACAATTCTTCCATGTCTTTCTGTAAGATAGCATTGTTTCCTTCTGTTCTCAATTTCGCCAAATTTGCTAGCACCATTCTTGAATGCGAGTTTCCACTTTACTCATCTGCTCCTACCCCTTCTTCTTCATTGTAGTGAATTAAAAGACTATAGAAGCATTCTCGCCGCATGTTCTTCTCCCGCTGCTAAGACTGATGTTAGTGTTGCTATTGCTTCATAAAGTATCTCCAAGTGCCCTTTGACTAGCGCACCGATTCATTCATTTATTGTTCTTTACTTGATTTCTTGCTTAGTTGATTGACTGTTATTTTGTTATTTCGTTATTTAGTCCGATTAATTGATTGACTTTGAACATCTTCTTCCCACTATGCTTTTGTTTGGACTGTTTACTTGCCTGAAAGTTGCCCAGTGATGCGATTGGTGTTTCACTCAGCGGTCGTCTTGATTCACTCGTATTGATGTGAGGCGGGAAGTGTCGTGTCAATGCCTACCCGACTGTTGCGATTCATGGAAATAGTACGTGTGTGCTGCAAATCAGTATGATTTTGCTGTCGTTATGTTGCATCTGGGATGATTGTGGTTAAGTGCGAACTGGTAGTCGTTGGCCTGGCTTTAAAGATTGCGAAAATAATTGTTTGGATTCAAGTGGATTTTATGCTTCACTTCTACAATTTGCACACATGTTTCTGTATCATTAATAAGGACTGCTTTACGGAGGACATACACCAGCCACAACGCAAAGGCGAGCAAAATGCAGAAAATAAGGAGGTTAATCCATGCTGCTTGTAGATCAGAAGAATACTCGTGGCAGCCACACGCAATATGGAAGTTATTTGCATTGAATATAACTCTGCGCTGCGTAAGGGTGCAAGTTCGGACCTTGCTTTCTTGCACCTCATTCGCACCGCCTTCGGTGGTCTGTTCTTCTTCCCCTAATTTTAATTATTGCCTTGTACGAATAACCGAGTCATGGGATAGAGCAGTTCAGCCGCCTTCCGCTCACTGTGAATTTAGCATTCTTACTGAGTTAATGCGGCTAGTCAACCGGCATGATAAATAGTAAGGTAGCGCTTCTGTAGTTCTGCGCCAATCCCAGCTTCGACGTAGACTCCCGATGATGCGACTCCCTCTTTCCTGATGGACAAAATCTGTAAACGTCGTTCT